TAGTACAGACAAACTTTCATTAGTAACTTTTTTAATAGTTTGAATTATATTTTCTAATGCCTTAAGGTCTTCATATAAATTAGTTGCTTTAGATATATATTAGTGTTAAAAGTTAGAAGTTTTAATTCTTCTGTTTGAAATATTTGAAAGTGTAGCCTTAGAGATACTAGTTTGTATTTTATGCTAGCTATTTTCTAGTAATTTAGACTGAATTGAGCTTAATAATATTTTGTTTTAGTTCAAGTTTTGTGAGACAGAGTTTGTATAATCTTTCTATAATTCAGAATTTATAGACTTATAGTTAAATATTCTTCATCAAGTATTGTTTTTATATCTGGTTCTATTTTGAAAAGTGAATAGAAAAGACCATAATAATGTCAGAATTTAGTAAACATTATTCAATATAGTTTCTAGATTTGTAAGTTTAAAATTTAAAAAGTATAGTATAGTAGAATAGTGGGTATATATATAATCTATTCAGCTACTAAAATGGCTACTCTGCTAAGTATATTGATTAGTTGAGATATAGTCAGCTAAGTCATATATATTTTGGCTTTGTAAATATGAGAGTAGTTTAGTTTTAGCTAAGTAGAAGCCTTGATATTCAGTATTTGAATTAAAGTCTTCTAGAATAATAGAAAGTAAGTTAGTAGATAAAGCTTCTTAAATCTAGTAAATAATTTTGTTTTGTGTTGCATGTCTAGTGAGTTAATTTGTACTTGATAAGTATACTGATATGATATGAAATTTAAAGTTATTTTTGTAGAAGAAATCGATAGCAATAGTTTCTTCTAGATGTATATAGATATTATGTATATGTGGTTTAATTGAATTATTAACTATGATACAAGTACTCTTTGCAGAGGTCTCAGAGTTAGTCTAAAAATATGTAAAGTCTTTTGTATTGAAGAACTAAAGTAATATATATTGAGCTGAAATTTTAGTTTTAGTAAGGCTCACAATATACAAGTTATGAGAAAGATAATACTTTTCCTATAATTTTCTTTTTAGTGATTAGTTGTATCCTTTTATATTATATGTTGTAATATTGAGTAGTAGCGAGTTATTAAAAGCTTGAGATCTGATATGTAAATTAGAATATTTAGAATAATTAGTAGGATGGAGTATAGTATGATAAGGTAATAGGGGATCAAGAATATTCAGATAAATATAGATTTCTTTAAGTATAATATTAATTGAAATTTTAAAAAAAAGTTTGTAATTAAGTTTAGTAAGGTGTTGGATAAATGAACTAAGAGTTTAATTTGAATTAAGTATGAGATAATTATATTTGTTTTAAAATTTATTATAACAGATTACTACAGTGTATAATAAAGAGATGGTTACTAAAGTTGAATTAGAATCTTTTGTAGAAATACTCACTGTATATCCAGTTTTCATAGTTGTGAAGTTTGCCAAAGCCTACTCTGTACATTGAGTCTGACCAACATAAACTTAATTCTTTGTAGAAGTAGGCTTGACTACCTGCTAACTCCTATCATTCTTTAAAAATAGCCTATAGTCAGTATAGAACATTATTATTTCAAAAGCAGTAGCTGTATTTATAGCTTCTACAGAAGAATTTATTGAAAAGAAGAGATTTCAGTATTAGGTATAGTTGTTAATATATCAGAAGTCTTGTTTGAAGATTTATTAAAGACTTCTGAATCAGCAAAGAGATTATCAATTTCTATTTCAATCTCAGGCTATTTGTTAAATTGTGTATTGAAGAGAAGAGTTTCTTCAAGTTGAATTAGATTGTTAAATTTGATATTAAATTTATCATTAAGATATTTTTCTGCTTCTGAATAGAATATAGTTTTGTATTGTTCAAGAATTTAAGTAATTATAATAGTTGGTTTTTGTTTAATTAAGTAATATATAATTACTCTTGTTAAATAGTGAGTATTAATAGGTTAGAGTATAAGTTTTTCTTTTGCTTTATCCAAAGAGAGATTTTCTATATTGTTATTTTTTGCTGCTGCAGCTAAAAATACTTTGAAGATTTTATAAAAGTAAAAGCTTACTCTTTTTGAATTAAGGTCTACTTGATTAGCTTTGGAAAGCTCTTCATCATAATTATAAGCAAGAATGTGAAATAGGCTAAGAGGAGTAGATTGTTAGAATGATACTTCTTTAGTTTGATCCTTATTAAATAAAGATAAATCTAGAGGTATATTAATCCATTTTGTTAGAAGAAAGTGTTTAAAGAATTCTTTGAAATAGTATTCATTTAAAAATTTAAATTTATACTAGTAGAAATTTGCAAAAATAGCACTAAATTAGCAACTATTTGGTATAATATTCAGCAACTATTCAGTAAACATTCAGTAAACATTCAGCTGCCATTTAGTACAATCGCTACTACTCGGCATTCACAAATGCTGAATGGCAGTGATTATACCAAATAGCAGCTGAATATTTACTGAATATTTACTGAATAGTTGCTGAATATTATACCAAATAGTTGCTAATTTAGTGCTATTTTTGCAAATTTCTACTAGTGTTATGCTCAATTTCAGAAGCAAGTAACTTGCAGAGATTTTGTGAAGTATGATCATATTTGTAAATATGATATAGTGCTAGTTTTCTAGTCTTGTGAATTCGATCTTGTAGAGAAAGGACCTCTCTAATATTGTAATGATCAGATAGTAATTTTTTGCAACATTTTGCAAATTGTTATGCAATTTAGTATTTTAGGTAGTTGTAGATTTTTTCTTTGTTAATTTGAAAGAATTAGCAACTGTAGATTTTGAAAAAATTTTTATACTACTCATCGAATTGAAGTTTACACTCCTTAAGTAAAGGGATCTGAAAGTTATTTAGAAATTGAAATATAGAAATATTAAAATAAATATAAATATTGAACTGTTTGTCATTATTAATAGTTAGAAGAGATGCTTTATAAGTAGCACTTTTATATTCATTTTTGTAATAAATAAGCTTAAATTTGTGAGAACCAATGTTGTTATTAGCCTTAAGTCCAATAAAATATTATTAGCCCTAGCTCTTATAGCTAATTGAACATATGGCTAATTAGAAAATGGCTATTTAACTTTGATTGTTATCTAAATATCTAATTCGTTAATTAGTCATATATCTAATTAGCCTTGAGAGCTAGGGCTAATTAGATATACTCAATAATATAATTTAAATTTTTTGGTATAATTAACAATTAACTGAATTTTATATAAATAACAGTTATATGCTAATCACTATAATTTAAAAAATATGATAATATATTTTGAACTTTGTTACAGTAATTTTAAACTAGTTTTTATTATAAGACCAAATATTAAATATATAATTATCAAAAGGTCTTTGCTCACTTAATGCTTCTGGTATAATAACTTCAAAACTACAAATATCAACAATTCATATAAACTCTTAGCACAATAAAGTTTTTGTAACAACATAAAGCATAACTTCATAACTAATATTATAAAAAATCTTTATTCCTTTAAGATAATTATAGATTTGAGATTTAAGATTGCATACTTTATTAATATATAAATATTATACTGTAGAATGAACATATTACCTGAAATATTTTTAAGTAGTTTTACTTTAATATGCTAAGTAAATTCTTGATAATCAGTTTTTAAATAATTATAAGATCATTAATTATTTGTTTGCTTCAGTATTTGAGTTAATCTGTATATTACATACTTAATATCAGCTAATATAATTATTAAATATTATAGTTTATACAATACGTTTAGCTCAATATGCATTAATAAATTGTACAATAAATAATAAATTAAATTATTTCTTTTAAAATATATGAGATTATTCTAGAACTAATATGATTTAATTTATCTAATAAAGTCTATTCAATTGCAATTTTGCTATAAGTTGAAACTTTTTCATGCAATTACTAATTCCTCACTTCTAATTACTCATTCTTAAATTGTTTCATTATAGTAGCGGCCAAATGTTTTGTATCATATGAAAGAAAAAAATGAAATTTAAATATCTTCTTAATGATAAGTTATTTCTAAAATAAATTTTTTTTTATTTGATTTATTAAATCTAAGAGATCATATAATCTAATTGCACAATAATTTTAGTCTTAATTTTGATAAATTAAATAAAAAAATTTTATTTTAGAAATAACTTATCATTAAAAAAATATTTAAATTTAACTTTTTTCTTTCATATAATACAAAATATTTGGCTGCCACTGTATGTTAAAACTATACATTTAATAAAAAACTCTAAAATTGTTATTAGGAGTATCATTTTCTATGATCAAGATTCTTTTAATTGAACTTACTGATTCATTCTATATAATTCTCACCTCAACAACAAGTCAACATATTAGTTTATTTAAACTATAATCCTAAACCAATAGTTATAATTAGTATATTATATTTAATAATTGAAATATAACAACCTATATAGGAAATATAATTATAGAATTACTAATAGCACTACTGTGCTTAAAGTTAAAATCTTCTTTAAGTTGCAGCTTCAAGCATCTGAAGTTATATCTGTCTAAAATTACTAAATAATACATATAAGATCTAATTCTAAGAGCTTATTTTAGATAGTTAAACTTGAGTACTTGAAATTGCAACTACAAACATAATAGCCATGTATAAGTTTATAATTTCTATCTAAATAATATATATAACTTACATAAACATAGAAGAGAAATTGGCTAGCAATACAATACAAAAAAATTATTTATAAAACACGAGTAGAAATAAAACTATTTATTGAATAAGACAGATTCTTACAAATAATAATAATAAAATATTATTTCCAAAATAAATATCAAGAGAAAAAGAATTCACTTATTGATATAAAAAAATGTAAAAAAACTATACTACTATATAAAAAAAAAAAAGATTTCAAATTTTATACCATACTTTTTTATTTAATTGACAAATTTAAGTAAGCAGGCTGTTCAAGTAAATCTGTAAATAAATCTAATAACTTCTATTTTGCTTTATTATCTTCAGCAGGATGCATGGTACTAACATCTTCAAAAGAATCTAAAGTGCATTATCATTATCTAATAGATTATTGTCAACTGATTCATTAATTTCTTCTTTATCTACTAGTTTTATCTATTTAGATACTAAATAGCACCAATTATTAACGGTTTGAATATCTCCACTATTTGACTTATTTAATTCTTCAACATAAGTATCTTCAACATAGGTATCTTCAACATGGGTATCTTCAACATAGGTATTTTTAACATAGGTATCTTCAACATGAGTATCTTCAATGTAAGTATTTTCAATATAAGTATCTTCGATATAAGTATCTTCAACATAAATATCTTCTTTATAAATACCTTCAATATAAGTATCTTCATAAGTATCTTCTTCATTGAATAAATCAAAACTTTCATTAACAGAAACTTCTAAATTTGTGTTTTGTGTTTGCATTGCAATATTTGTTTTGGATTTTTTTTTCTTGTCTAGCTAAAGCTTCGCTTAAATAATTATATTGTAATTTATCTCTTAATTGACATATTTTTAAAACTTTATCAAGCTAAAATTAAAACTAATAGTTTAGCTATATTAAATAATAATTTAAAATCAGGTATTATAAATAAAATAGTTTCAATTAGCTAAGCTGAAAATAGCTATCTAAACCTATCTCTAGTTATAAATAATAAATTACTATTAATCAGTTTTGTCAAGTAGTATGAATCCAACCTATTTTAGAAAATAACTATTTTACTAAAGTACTAGCAACAGAAATTAAGAAAATTTTTAAAGCTACAAGATGCAGTTCTTTTGTATAACTTGCAACATAATTCTAAAATCTTAAAGGATCATCAAACTGGTTATATATTTCTCAATAAAAAGGATTTTTTTCTGCACGATACTGCTCTAATTCTGCAAGAATAACTAAAGGCTTCTTATTAACCCAATTAGTATAATAGTAACAAACCTATCTTTCTAAATAAGCATATAAAATATTTGAAAGTATAAAATTGAATTTTGTATCTTTATACTTTGGATGAAGTAAAAAAGAAAGAAGTAAAAGAGGTTGTTCCTACTTAGCCTACCGTTTTTTAATCTTTTGAATATAATAATTTTGTAAAGAAAGTATATAATTAGATTTTAAAAGCTTTACAATCTACTCAAATGCATGAAGAACTTCATACAACTGTGCACTATCAGTTTGTAATTTATTTAAAGCTACACAATAAGGTTCAACTAATTTATGCAACTTTTGTAACTTTTTCTACCAATCAGAGCTTGAAAGATTTTTTTGAATATTAATAGGAAAACTATAAAGAGAACTATAATCATCATCTTCAATTTTTGTTATTAAATTCTAAATAAAATAAAAAAAAATTTATTATCAAATATAAATAATTAAAGAATAATAAGAAAAATCTATATATAGAGGTTATATATATTTAGGCTAAAATTTGAGTATGTACTTAGAGAAGGTATGTACTTATAGAGAGTACACTTACAGAGGTTTACTATATAATAATAATATACTAACTTTTAAAGCTACTTTAGATTTTAAAATACTTGAAAAACAGTAAAAATAACTATTTCAATATGTATCATTAGAAGTTATTAAAGCAATATATTTTTCTTTATATATAGCTACTTGTTCATCTTTTAATTAGCTATAAAAAAATCTAATCTGTGAAAATAAGTAACTACTTCAATTGTATCTTCAGCAATAATTTTTAAATTACTATCTTTTTTGAAGATATCACCTATGCATAAATTCATTTAGTGACTAAAATATGGTAAAAAAATTTTATTTCAAAATTCTTTTTGAAGTCTTTTTCTAAAAAAAAAAAATAAATAAAATAAAATAAAATAAAATAAAATAAATAAATATATATCTATATATTATTATTATTTAAATTAATTTAAATTTATTATATTACCTTGCAGCTTTATATTCAGGTGCAGAATCTGTAACTAGTTTATTTACTAGAATACTGCAGGGTTCAATTGAATTAAATAAATTTTTTGTCATTAATACTATAGTTTACTAGTTTTTACATTTATTACTTAAGTCTTCAATATTCTATGCTAATACTAATCCTTCTGCAGTAATTAATGTACTTTTAATAATATTTCGTAAAGCTATATTTTTCTAACCATTATATAATAAAGTAATACCAAGATTATTCTGTGTCACAAACTGAATAATACTTTTAAAACTATTTCTAACTCATGATTTAAAATATGATTTGAAAGGTCTAATCAGCTAGAAAAAGTAGATATAGGATTTAAAAATCATATAAGTTTTTGTACTTCCAAATTTTCAATCTATCAAAAAGACTATCTACAAGATGCTATAGCCCAAATTAGTAAACTTTCATATTGTTCTAAATGTTTTCCTTGAAAATTAGTTTTAAAATAACTATCTAAAGTTTTATTATTAAATAAATTTAACATTCTTATTTTTATACTTGTTAAAGAACTTTCAATTGTTTTATCTGATAGGTCTAAAATTTCTTGTTGTTTTTCATAAGAATATTCTGCAAGAAAAAATTGATATGATTTAAGATGATTTTTACAGTCATAGCTTTTATGAGTAATCTTTAATTGCACTACAGCAACATCAAAACCAAGACCTTTAATACAAAACTTGCAAATAGAAAAAATATTAGACTTATTAGCTTTTTTTTTTGTTTTTTCAAAGTATTTTGCAAGATAATGTTCTTTAGGTAGCATATTAATAAATAGTATAGATAATAAAAAAATTATTATATACATACATACATATTATCATTTATATTTAATAATATATAATAAGTTATTTATATTTGGTAAGTTATTAATGTATTACTTATTAATAATATATAAAAATTATACTTAACTGGAAGTTAATAGAGCAAAAAATAATCTAAGACTAATTATAATACTCTAATATTAGCATATTGATAATTATATAAATAATGGAAACAAGTCTGATATATAAAAACAGGAAATTTCTATACAAGTAACACCTGGATCAAGATAGTCACAAGAAAATAAATAAGTAATTTAATAAATTGCTAGTTTTGAATAGTATGATAAAATACTAATATAATTAAATTTGGCTAGAATAATAATATAGTAATAAAAAGATATATGATTCAACAATAGCTTTTAAAAGGCAAGTACATTTGCACTTAGCTCTCAGCTATCCTACTATCATTCATAAAGAGCTTAAGTTATAATTAAAGCCTAAAAGCATAATAAAGAGGTGTTCTGATATCAGAGATATTTATAACTAACTCTGTATAATGATACTGAATTTTTTTTCTTAAAAGTTAAGACACAGTATCTAAGGATCTAATTTAAAAGTTAAGTAAATGTACAGAACTTATATATCATGTATAGGTATTGTTAGGTAAGTGTTTTTATGATTGCAATTGATTATTAATTCGTGTTGACAGCAGGTCAACAGATTAAAAAAATAGCTAAGCAGTAATGCATTAATGAGCAAACAATCATATAAGTGATCCTAGCTCTAACAAGAAAATCTAATATGAACAAGAACAAAGATAACGATAAGTAAAAGTTTAATGAACTACTAATTCAGGCTTATAGCATAATCATTAATATAACCTAATTTGTTAGGGCATGCATAATGATAACAGACAGATATAAAAAAGAAAATCTGTAGGGCAGCCCTCCAAAGGTAAAGCAAATTTGCACTCTTTTTAGTATAATCCTGCTATTTTTGCAAATCTTTCAGATTTACAACGGGCCTTATTATACAAATAAGAAACCACTAGCTAAGATTATGTATTACTAATTTAACTGCAAAGCTTCTAGCTAAAAGCCAGCTTGCTTTATGCAAATGAAAAACTACTAGCTAATACTAATACATAATACACTAATTGTATTAAAGTATGCTATATATCTATTTTAATTATATATCAATCTCGCTTTATATATGCTACATATCTCTATATACTCTTCTAAAGCAATTTAATAAATTTTTAATATTCAGTACTATTTGCACTAAAAGATGTTCAACTATTATATCACATGTATGCAGTTTATTTCGAAAAAGTACTTAATTTTTTATCTTTATTTATTATTCTAATATAATTTTTTTTTTAATTCAGCAGTCATATGGGCTGTAGCATCCTTCTTATACTGATTTGTAGTTTATAAACCATAAATTACTCGAGTATAAGACAAAGGTTACT